TCAAATTTCCTATCTTCTTTCACCTTTTCTTCCATTCTTTCTTTGGTAGATGAATTGTGGTTGATTTTTAGTTGAATTGTGGTTATTGTTGGTAAATTGTGGTTGATGTTGATGGATTATGGTTGATGATATATCTATAAATAGCTCCATCATCTAACCAACATCTATCCCTCACAATCCAAAATATTATCATCCTCACCACTACCATCATTCTTATATGTTGTCTTTGATTAGTTTCTCTTTTGGTTGTGAATTTTGGAGGTGTTCTCCAAGGCTTGTACTTGTTCTAGTGTGGCGTGCATTTGTTTTCGATTTGGCGTTTGTATCAACTTTATTTCTCGACTTGGATTACTTGTAAGTTGTTTTTCTTGTAATGATAATTTGCAATGAATTTTATGTTGAGTTTATTTTTTTTATATGAATAGCTAAATCATTTGCTAGGGATAGGGATGAATATTTGATTTCGTATGTGATTATCGTACTCGTCGATTGTTCACTTTGTATGAGTTAATTCTAAATTCGGTTTTTGATTTTTACTTTGGAATGACATATTGTTGAAAAGTGACAATTCAACCTTGCAATTGATTTCTAAGTATTGAAGAGTGACACTTCAATGTTAAACTTGTTTTCAAATTGAATATGATGTGTTCTATTGTGACGATCACTATCCGAATATACTAGACGACTAAAAATCCTATAGTCTATTTTAATTGACTCTTGAACCGAAAGGGAAGAGGTCACTCGATCGAGACTCATACAAAATAGACATAATCCGAAAGGTATTGTCTATGTGTTAAACAACTCGTTAATTTACCGTTTATATTTATTCTCATAATCCAAAAGGTATTGAGGATAAATCTCTAAACGTGTAGGTGACTCGAATTCTTTAACCGAACAATCACAAGTCGATAATTGCATTTCGATTCAAAATATTTATTCCCGATTCCCTAGTATCTTTCGCATTTTCTTCATTTATCATTTAGTTGTTTTATATTATTTATAGTTAATAATGAATCATTATCAATCTATCTTGATTAGAATGTTTAGGATTTATTTTGTTTTTATGTGCTATCAATATCAATTCTAAATTCCGAATAGTCTTCCTCAAGAGAACGACCCGGGAAACGAATCATTTGATTCGGTGCTCGGTAAAATAAAAATAATTTGTACACAACAATTTTCACAGGGCGAGATCAGTCAGTCATTTTTAACATATGATCCGGCGAGTCAGGCCACGTCTGGGTCAGCCTGAGAAAAATCAACAATTTCAATTGTTTATTTAGGACGAGTCTCGTATCCAGATTTGGCCGTCTCAGCTCGCCGAGTCGTGTACCCGATTAGTATGAGCTCAGGGTCGGTGATTTTTTATGACCCGCCGAGCCCAGGCCCATCCAAGAATTTGGCCATGTCTACTTGGGAGTTCTTTTAAAAGATTTCTACTAGCCACACGGATGTTGTGTATCAGTTCAAGGGACATGTGGACCTGGCGAGTCATTCCGGTCGGGCCCATGGTATTCATTGAAAATTTTCGATATGTTGATACCAACTATATCCTTATACAAACTATAAATTAATTCATATGTGGAGCATATCAATTACTTATTGATTAAAATACATAGTACTAGTACGAAATTTCGTGCGGTGCACAGGTAAGAAGTATTCATTAATATTTATAAATTAAAAATACTCATTAAATAATATTTAAAAGTTAAAACTATAGAATCAATATGTAATAAAATTTACCTATTTTTTTTAAACCAACGATAGGAATGTTCATAAAACAAATGAATGTCAAGTACAAACCGAAACAAATTTACCTATATTAATTTATTGAAACGTTTATATAAAAGTTAAACATAAAACATGTCTATTTAAAATTAGTATACAATCAGTACCGTGCATGTAACCAATAATAAAATTACATTATATTCATTTCAAAATATGAATCGTTTTTAAAATTATTATTCAGAAATTCGACTTGACTACAATGTGATTCCATAAATAAATATTTTAGTAAAATTTTATCATATATTTGAAAATATATGTGAATAATAAGTATAATTACAAAACTTATATTGTTTCATTATTTATTTATTTATTTATTTTTGTATAAACTATCCAAATAAAAAAAAAAAGTAAGTAGTTGAGTAATTTGCTAAACTATATTTATTATCGGTTACCTTATCGTCCAAATTTATCAACTAATCATCTAAAATTAAATTGCAAATTTTAAATTTTATTAAATAATATTTGTTCAAAGATCGTTTGAATTTCAAGAGGGGACATAATCATCAATATCTTATGACAAGTTATTATGAGAATATGTTAATATTTGAGAATTATATCAAATTGATTTGATAACAAATCAACCTGAAATACGATTTTCATACTCACACCAAATAAAATTTATAGCACTTACTTTGTTTTTAAAATTTCTAAATACACTTCTATTCATGCCAAATAAAATTCATATCATTTAAATTTGAACATCTATACTAAAATAAAATCGCCCACT